AGATAAGTCATTTTTTTCCTAAAATAAGTGCATTCTTTCTTGAATTGTGGAGGTAATTTAGACACTTTATAGAACAAGACAATTTATATTTAAAATAGGAAAAAACAATTATTTTGTCTTATTTCAAGTGCTTACTATCTAATTATCTTATTTTGAGAGTAATATACTCATTTCATTGGCAAATCATCTCATTTACCTACTCAAATTAAAGGTAAATACACTTCATTTAAGAATTTTAAAAACTAATTTCTAGGTTGATTTTGCAGTGCACTGGAAAAACAGTCTAATAATAAGTAAAAATCCCTTAAATGAATTGTATTTACCCTTAATTTAAGCAGGTAAATGAGATAGTTTGCCAATGGAATGAGTATTTATATTCTCAAAATAAGATAGTTAAATAACATACACTTGAAATGAGACAATGCAATTGTGTTTTCTTATTTCAATTGTAAATTGTCTTGTTCCATTGGCAAAATGTCTCTTTTACCTCCTCAATCCAAGAACAAATGCACTTATTTTAAGAAAAAACTACTTACCTAGATTGCGATTTTTTTCCAGTGTGTTATTCGAGGTGGTTCTATTCCCTAACTACTTAAATTTCAGTATGTTTATGTAAGGGAGCGAAGAGACCTGGACATTGATGGGAGAAAGATCTGGGTGATTCTGGCCAGGAGTTCACCACAGACGGCCTGTGCAGAGAAGAAAGGTGTGCTGAGAGTCAACGACTACAAGCAGAGCGTCGCCCTGGAGAGCGACGGAGCCAGCGGCACGAAAGGTGACCTATTGGGAATCATGGAAAACCTGAATCTGGATCAATGATTTGAATCATTTTTCCTTTATTCATCACTTTAATAATGATTAATTAAATATAAAAAATGCAATATTTTACAAGACAAAAAAAACAAAAAAAAGCTTTCTGGTGATCCTTAAAGCTCTTAATCCTCTGTTTTTGTCAGTATTATAAAGAACATCCCCTCTTACCACACCTCTGCTAATCGATTTTATACATTTACATGAAATTCTTAACACAGGCTCCTTTATATTAATGGAGAAAAACCCATTTATCAAACTCATCTAATCATAAACAGGGCCTTAAACTTGCATACACCAACTTCCACACAAAAGTTGTGATTTATAAGGATAATAAAACATGCTGTTTAAAAATATTCTGCCCCTCATTCAGACTCTGACCCAACCGTACAGGTACTCCTATTTTTGGAGAGAGAAGAGAAACTGGTGACACAGATGGTGACTGAGGGGAAACTGAGGTCAGATTGCATCATAATTTCTAACTGACATTTAATTTCACTTCATATGAATCCAAACTGCAGGGATCTTTGCTGCTGTTAAAGCTGCCACAAAGTGCCTAACCTGACTCCGCCAGATGGATTTGCTCCGCATATCCATTAGGGGTGTAAATAATAATCGTTTTGTATTGATGCATCGATCCAAAAGCCGACGATCCAATGCATCGATGCGTCCGCAAGATCATCGATTCATGTTTTTTTTTTCCCTCCGGTCTATTTTTATCCATTTGCTCCTGGGCGTAATTCTCCCTCCCGTGCTGCGGTGGCGCTAAACCTATTTTGCCCTCCTACCTCGCTTCCTGGTTATACTCTTACAGCAGTGTGTTGCAGTAAGACACAGACAATTTTAAATTATGCTCAATATTGAAGCGTGGTCTGAGCTACACGCTGTGGGTCTAGATACGGCCGAGTCGGCGAGGAAGTGGGGGCGAGTTTAGTCGACAACGGAGGGACATGAGGGCCTCCAGGGACGTCTGGAGCCGAGGTATTGCATTGCTGTTGTTTCTAAAAAAAAATAAAAAATGCATAACGATATTACAGCTTTCATTGATTTATTTCAAACTTGAAACTTTGTTAAGCCTTTAAGGTCTAAAAAACAAATTTTTAAAAAATTAATC